TAATATACTACCTTGGATGGATGGGAAAGACAGGAAGAGGAATAAAACTATGAAAATACAAAACCTAAGATGAGATTTAGATCTTTGATGGTCCAGTGCATGAAGAAAACCCTTGGTTTTTGTTTTTTAGCAAGCTATTGTTGCATTTAAGGCACTATTCAGAGTATGAAGACACCACAAATAAAGACAAGCACACCGCAGCAGAGAAGTGTATTTTCTCTCATGAAGTTTATATTTAATTTCTGTAAAAGGAAGACATAAACCATGCAACTAAATTAATACTTACTTGAACAAAATTGGTATCGTGAAGAGCAAGGAAAAGAAATGAACAAGGATTATGTCACGAAAGAAATGGGTGTCTTTGCTTACCTCTGAATGATACATGTGAATTTAGAGAGAGAACAGTAAATCCAGAGAGGGACAAAGTCCTGGGTGGAAGTGTAGAAGGCATTTCAAAGAAAGAATAATCCATCACCAATGCTGCAGACACATCAGAAAAGTCAAGTGGCCTGACCTGAGTTCAGTTTAGCAATGTGGAGTCCTAGTGACCTTGGTAGTAGATGTTTTGGTGGAGTAGTAAGGAAAAGGAAGCATTCAAGAGAGGATATGGAGAAGAATTGGAGGTTGGTCATCTAAAGCAGCTTTCTTATGGGAATTTTTATGAAGTAGAGAAAGGGAACAAAGTGATGGCTTGGTAGATTAATAGGGTGAAAAGGGTTACCTTAAGGCATACTCTTTAATGCCTTTAAGGTGAGAGGAAATAAGATCAAATGAGAAATCTGATCATTTGTTATTTCCTTATTGTCTGGCATCCTTTCACTCTAGCACTCAACATACAAAAATTTTATGAATGCCATCTCTGAACCTGCAAAGGACAGTCATAACAAAGATATGTAAGATCTGGTTCCTGTGAGGAAAAAGAGAAACATAAGTGGACAGCAACAACACAGTATACAGTATAATAAGCATTGTATATCCACCAAAGGTATCAGGAATGATGCTAAGGGAACACAACAGATTGAGCAAATAATACTGTCAAATGGCATTCTAGTATTTCTAATGTCACCTAATAAAGACATTTATTTATAAGCAATTATGTGTACTAGTTTTAAAGAGGCGATTATCTCTTTAGATAGTAATTTATGTCAAATACAGTAAATAATTTAGATACATCATTATAAAGTACTCTATAGTTATCTATAGTCTTCATATTAGAAAATCATTTCCCTTTTGGGGGGTTGCAGTTAAATATAGTTTATATCTTTAAAGGCTACTTGCCATTAATTTTGAAATAATAATCAAACCCAAAAATTAATTTTTCACATTTATTAGAATAAAAATATAACCACAGCTACTATAATTATTCTAGTTAGAAAGCTCCAGATGAGCAGCAGATATAAACCCCCTAATAACAAAACAATGGTTAGACTATAAAGTATTAGCGCAGAAGTATGACAGAGCTCCTGGATAAGAATCAAAATGAAATCCAAAAGTAACAGATAGCTTATGCTTTCAGAAATCAAAATTTACTCTAAGAAGTAATGGGTAACAAAAAAATGTTAGAGGAGCTGTATTCCTCATTTTTCTTGACTGCAGTTTTGGCTGTAATTTTTCTTGTGAAATAATACTACTACCTGCAACCTCAAAAATTAATGCATTGCTATGTAAAGATAGTACATTTTCCACAGTATTTTTCATAGATTTATAAACATTTACATAATGATGGATCAAATGTCATTTAATTTTTTTGAATCAATGTTTCTGTTAAATTCTGACATGTACAAGCTTAAGATACATGTATAAATCACAATATATATTTAAGTACACTAAAATGCTTGCAATACTTTTGGTTTTTTGGAGTTTCACTAACACTATAATACCAAAATGTAATATAACATTTGAACTTTACTCAATCATGAAATCATGAATCACTGAATTATGAACCCCTGAATCATAAAACTAAATCTGTTTCAGTATTTTAGCACAGGATGACATTTTAAAGTAACATTGAGACTGGGCTGTGGTGGCACACACCTTTAATCTCAGCACTCAGGGTAAAGATCTCTGAGTTTGAGATCTGTCAGGTCTACAGAGAGAGGTCTGGGACAGCCAGGGCTGCACACAGAAACACTGTCTTTAAAAAAAAAAAAAAAAAAAAAAAAAAAAAAAAAAAAAAAGTAATACCGACAAGCAAAATTATTTATTTTACCTAAGTCAATGATCTACCTATTTTTAATGTTTTTTTTTAAATTTTCACTGCTAGACTTATAATAATAGCACAATCCTGATTTCTATTGCTATGATCAAACACTATGACCAAAAGCAACTTGGGTAAGAAAGGGTTTATTTCAGCTTACATATCTCCATCACAGTCCATCCTAAAGGGAAATCAGGGCATGAGCTCAAGGCAGGAACCTGGATAGAAGAACAGGCCACTAAAGAAACCTGCTTAGTGGCTTAGTCAATGTGCTTTCTTATAAACCACAGAACCACCTTTCCAGGGATGGCATCACCCACAGTGGGCTGGGCTGAACTTTTTCACATTAATTATAAAAAAAAGGCTTGCCTACAAGCCAGTCTTATGGAGATATTTTCATTTAAGATTCTCTATTTTCAGATATGCCTAGGTTTGTGAAAGTTTACAATAACCAACCAGCATGTCTGATTTTCTCCACAAAGGAATTTTAATTTTTCTTTTTGAGCTTTTTTTCTAAGCCACTGTATTTTCCTTCAGTTTTGTTTTAACAATGTACAGTATATTTTAGTTAAATAAGGACTCCCAGAATCATCAGTAAAAAGTCATACAAATTTGTTCCTATGTCTACTGATACATGAATCAGTGGATTAACTGTTAGAATCTTAGATATTGCCAAGATGCAATGACTACATTATGTATGTCCCATGCTATATTAGAAGTGTCTCTGTTAGTCTTGTGTTGGCACTTGACTCCAGAAAACTAATGCTTTTAAAACCAACACACAAGTTTTCAATACGTAACTGTTTATTTGATATATAAATAAATAGTTTTTATTTATTAAATCTTTTGCTTTTCAAAAGAATTTTTGGTGGTATGTAAAGGTGTTATTAGCTGCGTTAGTTTTGGTGTACTTGCTAAAGGGGAATTTATATTTAAAACTAAACTCTAAAAGAATAAGATGTGGGTATTTTGAAAATGTAACACTTATAAAATTGAAAATTGGGGGAACTGATCCATAAAGTAATGGAATAGGAATTTTTCAAAGACTTCTCACATGCTTGCCCTACCCTTGATGGGCAGAATATACTGAACTGCATCATCTCACTCATTCTTTCTGTGCAAAAAGAACAGAGATAAATGACACAAGAATGTTAAAATCATAAGAGTTATTTATAAAGGCAGTTGCACACCTTGAAAAGATTAAATAATACCACATTGTTGCCTCATTAATAATTTTATCATGTCTAGTTTATGCTCAGACTTTAAAACAGCCTAGCAAAATATACTAAATAAGTTATATCTGTACAGATAATTCAAAGGTATAAGGTTGGTGTATTTTTCTAAAGTAAAATTCAAGTCTCCTACAACATTTTTTAATTTTTTGGCTGACACATAAAAATAGGCATGAACTCAAAGGGTGACTTCTAGGGATGGAGAAGAAGGGAGCAGGAAGATGAGAGTAATAGATAGTAAATGTGATCTAAATATTTTATCTACATGTGTAGAAATAGAATGAAATCTCTTAGTTTTCATAATTAATACATGCTAATTAACTGACAAAAATCAAATTTAATTCATGCAGTGAAGAGAGGAAAGAGGTTAACTGAAAGATTAAAAGAAAAAGGATTGCTAAGTTTGCAGTTCTGTATGAAATTTATTAGAAATATTTGATGTGGTACTTTGAAAGTGGTTAATGTCACAACTGGTATCCATATGCCTTGATTTTAATCCTGATATTAGGCATTTACCAGATGTGTTTCCTTAGGCATATTACTTAACAGGTCTCAGTTTCCTCATGGTAAAAAACATAATCCTTATAAGCATAAGGATTTAATGATCCAATGCTTATAAAACTCATAGAAAGTACATGCATACATGCATACAGTAGTGGTTATATGTCCTTTTATTGTTATGATTATCTTATCAATTTTATGATCCAAGCCTGTATAGATTTCAGGTTTTCATTGATTCAGAATTTACTAAACTACTGCCTTTTGTCAGAGGTATCTTTTTTTAAAATTTTAGGTGATTTGACTTTCATTGGCTATTCTGTGCTTCAGGAAATTTAAGTTCAATAAAAGAGTTGATTACTGGTCTACCAGAATGTTATACTTAGAACGTTTGCTATGACTGATGGGTGCTCAATTAAAGTGGGGTTCAGTGAGAAAAAGACACAGAAGGAAACTGGACAAAGAAGTGAATACTTGATTCTATAAACTAAACATGCTTATTGTATCAAAAATATACATGTCTAGGTTTAAGTATAGGTCATGGAACAGAATGTCCATATTGCTAAGGCATGATAGTTCACAAATACATGGTGCTATGATTTAGGCAAAATTGAGTTAGTTTGTGACAGTATACCAGAAACAATAGGTTAATGTCCTAAAAGCAAGGTTAAAATGCAGGGGCCTGTTACTTTAGAAGTGACAAGCAAAGACAGATAAGTGGGCATTAGGGAATAAGACTTAAATCCATTACTAAACATGAAAAGAATTATGGAAACAGTGATCTCCTTTGTAAAATATTATATACCCTTAATATCCAGGACTCCAAAGAGAGCAAACATGGGGTATTTTTTATTATCTATAAAATATACTTTAAACTAGGATTATCTGGACAGTTCTCAAAGGCAGTTTCACCTTCTGGCTCAAAACACACATTTTCTTCATCCACACATGTCAACCATAACGTTGCATATGAGAGTGTGTTTTGTATACTGTAGCTGAAAATCAGTATAAGTATAAGCCTACCTGGGGGAAAAAAAAAACAATGTGATGTGAACTTTGTTCTCTGTGTTTAGGCAAGCTACGACCTATATCTATGCCAGTCGAATATAATTGGGTGGGGGACTATGAAGATCCAAATAAGATGAAGAGAGATAGTAGAAGAGGTAAGTGTTCTAGAATTTCAGTGTAGGCTGGGTTATTTTAACAATAAGCAAAATTAAATGTTCTTTAAATAGATTATTATGGCTTCAGCAGAAACTTACTCCATCATTGACAGTATAACTAAATGAAGTCAGACCAGTATTTGACTCTCTTGACCCATTAGTAATAGACTTACTAGACTTTTATAAGAATGCCTTCTAAGAGATTCTAGGCAGATAATTACACAGAGAAAGATGAATATGTTTGTAAACTGAAAGTTAATATTTTGAAAACAAGGTCAGAAGTGTGAAACTGCATAAAAGAATTCATTTCAGTTCAATAAATAGAAACAGTTTTGTCATCAGTCCCAACTCATCATCAGTGCAACTCACTTCGTTCATGAACCCCTCATATGATTAAACCTCATAATGAGCATTGAAGCACATAGGTTTGAAACCAATGTATAATGGAAAGTGGGCCAGTGACTCTTAATGAAAACAATATAGAAATGGGGGAACAGGGGAAAAATGTTTTGTGCTATTTCTGTTCTGTTTGCTGTTCAGGATTATTCTCTTACATGGGAGTAGGTTACCTTGAAGTATCTACCCAAAGTAAGTTTTTTATATTCACTTAGCCTGTTACTGAGGTGAGCAGTAAGAGGAGCAAATGAAACCTTGACAGTTTACTAGACTTTAACCAAGTGTAGATATGATAGGCCCAGCTACTGATGCTGCTACTTCCACTTTCAGGAGACAGCCATAAATTGTAGATAGACAACAAAATCAAAACTGTTCGTAGAAACTAAGCTTCCTCTATGGTTTGGTTGACCCGTTTACTTATCATTTCTATCCAGTGAACTGTAAAACATCCACAGACCACTTGGACAAGCAAGCATAAATGTCTGCTTCATTAAAAGTCTCCTTAACACTTGTTTTGTAGGGTGAGCATTTCAAAAATGTTGAGAAGTTCAAGGACAATGTCAGATTCTTTACATGCATGTATTAATTCCATTTTCTGAGCTTCAGTGTCTAATCTCATTAGTTTTATTGGATAAATCAAGAAAAATTAAAAATGCTTAAAATATGCCATCTCTTAAGTTATTCTTTGGGACTTCTTATAATAGTGACACTCTGTGGGAAATTTTTATGTTAACTACTGAATGCTGACTGCTAATTTCAAGAAAGACTGCTATGAACTAAGTTCATAACGTGGGCTTTAACTTCTCCAAGTATGTTACCTAAAATATTGGAGGCAGTTGTTTGTCATCAAGGTTTAAGAGTATTTTCATGCAGAACTTGCTACAAATTGTAAGTTCCACCCATAGAGAGCTTAAAATTTAATTTCTGCAAGTATTTTTGATGTATTTACTCCAGAGTTAAAACCAGGAGAAATAATCAAAAAGTTATGTCTTATTGTCCTAGGGTATCAAATAATTAAGTCCTACTGTGTTGTCACTACATGTATTGTAAGTTAAATCAAATTAAATTAATGAAATGAAATCTTACAGCACAATTTGGAAAGAATGGTACATTTCAGATATTTGCATATTAATATCAGTGTATTTCTCTTTTTATGTAGAAAACTCTCTACTTCGATATATGAGCAATGAAAAAATTGCTCAAGAAGAATACATGTTTCAGAGAAACAGCAAAAAAGACACAGGGAAGAAGTCAAAAAAGAAGGGTGATAAGAGTAATAGCCCAACTCACTACTCATTGCTACCTAGTTTGCAAATGGATGCTTTGAGACAGGACATCATGGGCACACCAGTGCCAGAGACCACACTGTACCATGTAAGTAAACGCAAAACTTCTTTCATACAATCTTTCTTGAAAGGCAAATTACTTTTGTTGATGAAATCGAGATTTTTTTCCCCATTGCAAGATTTTTATAAAAGACTCTAACATTAGAAATTGACCTTGAAATTATTATGGATTGATTTGTTTTACAATTCATTTGATCAATGTATTCCTATTTCTTAGCAACCTCTATTTTAGTGAAATAACTTAATAGGCATAATAATTGATAGAGAACAGTAATTAGGTAATTACTCATCTGTATGTTAATACACAGTACTTGGGCAGCTCCAGAAATCCAGAGTATAGATAGAATGTTTAATATTTAACAATTCTACTTAAAAGGGGACATCCACTCTGTGCTAGTAAAACTGGAAAGACACCGCACATCATTGGGGCTGGGGAGATGGTCCAGTTGGAATGTGTTTGCTGCACAAGTGTGAGAACCAAGTTCAGATTTCCAGCACACATGTAAAGTTCTGCATAGTGGCACTTGTAATCACATAGTCCTGTAATCTTAGTACTGGGGTACTAGAGACAGAATACTCAGAACTCACTGCTTAGCCAACATAGCTGAAACAGTTGTTCTGTGTTCAGTGGTGACCTCTCAAAAGTAAGGTGAAGAAGCTAGAAAGATATCTCAGTGTTTAAGAGCACTGACTACTCTTCCAGAGGATGAGGGTTAAATCCCCAGCACTCACATGGAGGCTAACAGCCTTCTGTAACTCCAGTTCCAAGAGTTTCAACACTGTCTTTTGTCCTCTGCAGGTACTGCATGCACATACATGGTTCACAGATATATGAGCACACATAGCACCAAGCACATAGATAGATAGATAGATAGATAGATAGATAGATAGATAGATAGATAGATAGATAGATAGATAGATAGAAAGAAAGAAAGAAAGAAAGAAAGAAAGAAAGAAAGAAAGAAAGAAAGAAAGAAAGAAAGAAAGAAAGAAAGATAGATAGATAGATAGATAGATAAATGTTTTAAAATATGGTGGATGGGAAGTGGTAGAAGAAAACATTCAAAGTCAACCTTTGGATTCCACATACAAATGTGCATGTGAAAGCACAGCATTATATGGGGGAAGTATGCTGAGATTTCCAATTTAATTTAACTTATATATGGGAGTATACAAAAGTGTAGAAACAAGAAAAGTTACCTTACTCTTCAGGGAAAATAAGAAAAAGCTTCATCATGGTCAGCAGTTGAGCCAAGAGTGAAAAAAAATGGGTAGTGATAGTTTAATGAGAATGCAAATGCTGATGATCACAAATGTGTGATATGACATGTTTCAGGGATTCCATGAGGTTCAGAATTGCTACTTTGTTTTAAAAAAACTGTAGGTCATTATATATGTACAAATGTAGGCAGGGTTAGGGTTTTGTAATGGAGTTTTGAGACTCCTATAGTAATAAAGAGCTTATTGAAGAATTTTGGGCTGCAAATGTATGATCACATTGGCATGTAATAGTTTTCTAATGAAAGCGCATCATTTGAAAGGTCAAAGACAGGGCCATTAAATTCATCCCAGATGGATTATGAGAAACCAGAGTAAAATAGCCATTTGGAAGCTGAAAATCTTGTTAGTCATAACATTCCCTTAAACTTCCAACATGTTTCATGCTACTTAAGCTAAATAGAGTTTGTTTTAACAATAGAACTGTAGCTTCTACTCCACTTAACCATTGAAAACAGACTAAATAGGACTGGGAGAAAGCTAAGTCACTAAAGTGATTGTCATTCAACAGTAGGGACCAGAGTTCAGATCCCTAGCATATCATAAAAAGTCAAGCATGGTGATACATACCTATAACCCCAGCACAGGGGAGCCATAGAGACAGAAAGATCTCCTTGGCTTGCTAGACAGGTAGTCTAGCCTAACTGGTAAACTTAAATATCAGTAAGAACCCTTGCCTCAAAAAAAGGGTAGAGGATGATAGAGGAAGACATCCAAAGTGAATCTCTGGCTTCCACAGATATCCACACATGTACATAACCATGTAAATGCCCATGTTCAAGTGCACACATGTGAACATGCACATACATGAAAAAGATGAGATCTTTAATGGAGAAATGGAAATTAATGATCAAATTATCAAATCTACCATATTGGTAAAACAGTATACCATCTAAGTATATAAGATATGAAAGAGTTAAGAACTTTATACTTGAATTGTTTCTCAGAGTTCTATCTTAAATTGTCTTTCCTATTCTCATAAAACTAGGTTAGAAAAAATTGTTTTTCTTTATGTGGATTAGAGCTTCATTAGCTTCAGTGCCCACCTTCCCTTTCTCCGGGTCCATATTCCCTTGTCTCTTCCTCTACAAGAGACTAAAATGTCCCATCTAAACCTATGAAATAGCTGACAAATCTTATTCTTTCCAGCAACATCTGAAGGGAACCTAAAAACAGTATTCTTTGATAACCTGTAAATGGGGCTACTTTTGCTATCATCACAACTCAGAAAAACCATCTAATCACTGAACTTGGTCTAGAGTCTGGTTCCAATTATAAGCAACAGCCTGAACAAAAATCTCAGGATGAGAGACAGGCAGCCTATTCAAGAGCAAAAATTGGTAGTTAAGAGATGAAGCTGGAGAGGGAACAAGAGGCCACTTTGATTCAGAGTACATTAGCTGGTAGAGGGTTTGGATTTAGCCTTAGAAGAGTGGTAATCGATTGAACACATTTATATATACAGTGTGTTCCATTCTGTCATGCATGTTCAGACTTGTGTCTACTAGAGAAAGAAAATAGAGAAGGGATCTGGGAATATTTGAATTATTGAGGAAAGGAAGGCAATAAAAGGTAAGTCAAAATGCTAATAATATTGTGTATTACCTACGAGTAGAAATATTTGCCACTTTTCCAAAGATCATTTATTGTTTACTGAAGAAGATAAAAACCTGGTTGTGGAACTTCATTTCTAGAGGATCATTTAAACATGAAAGAATTTTTCTTAATGCAATAGTTTCTTCAAAATGCAAGGTCAATATCAATATGTAACTTAATCACCTTCATGATAAAATGGTTTATAGGCTTTTGTTTTTGTTGTTGTTTGTTTCTTTTTTATGGAGACACAGTATTGAACATGTAGCAATCCTCTGGCCATAACCTCCAGAGAACTAGATTACAAGAGAAAGCCACCACATATAGTTTTGATTTTCCCTTTCAATGAGTTACCTATTAGTACCCCTGTTGCCACATTTTAGGTAATCACAAACATATATTTATAACTGAACTGGTTAGATTAGAGAATAAAAATACTTTATGAACCTAAAAAATTTACAAATTCAGCCTTAGAATATAGTACAGACATCCATTTTCTTGTTTCTACTAATCACAATTCTTTCCCCTCCAAAAAAAAAAAAAAAAACCCTGGGCATAATATGCTGAAAGGTGAGAAGGCTGGGTACCTCCAAACATTAAAGTGCAACCTATTGCTACATTCTCATTATGTTTTTTTCTTGACTACTCTGTAAACTGGCCCTGATTCTGGAACCTTGGCCTGTTCGTGCTCTAGCCTGCTTCTCTGTAGCTTTGATACACTGGCCAAAAGTCACTTGGGAAGGAGAAGGTTTATTGTAGCTTACAGGTTATAGTCCATCATCAAGGGAAGCCAAAACAGAAAGTATAGCAGAGACCATAAAAGAATGTTTCTAACTGGCTTGCTTCATCTTGCTCAACAGGTTTTTTTAGTTAGCTCAGGCCCACATTCCTAAGGATAATAATGGCTGGGCCCTTATCAATTAGCAATTAAGAAAATGCCTCATAGACATGGTCACCATCCAAATTGATGGAGACAATTCTTCAGTTGAGGTTTTCTCTTCCTAGGTGACTAGATTTGTATAAAGTTGACAGTTGACTCTATGATACCTAGAAAGCTTATGGGAACAAAAAATATGGTAATTTTTTTCACATTAACCAATTGGCCGGGAAAGAGGTAGTCTAATAGGATACAAACCCTTTCAACAATGCTTATCTGTTGTAACAGCAAAAAGAAAAAGAAAAAAGTCATACTTTCCTCCTCTACCACAACAGTAAAATCACTTATTTACAAAGAGTACATGGCAATATTGCATGTAAATGCACCAAATAAATTGAGATCCAAAATATAACAATGAAAATAGACCAGAAAAGGAGAAGTTCATAAATCTACAATTATGGTTGGGGACTTCAAATCCCTCTCTTAGTAATTTATGGAATCATTAAACATGTCAGCAAGAATATAAATGTACAGAATAACTGTATGGAATTGGATCTAATACTGTGCTGCATGGTTTTATGTCAACTTGACACAAGCTAAAGTCATCTAAGAGGAGGGAACCTCAATTAAGAAAACACCTTCATAAAATCAGCCTGTAGGGAGGCCTGTAGGGCACTTTCTTAATTAGTGATTGATGTGGGAGGTCCTAGCTCATTGTGGGTGGTGCCATCCCTGGCCTGATGGTCCTGAGTGCTATAAGAAAGCAGGCTGAGCAAGCCATGGGGAGCAAGCCAGTTAGCAGCCCTCCTCCATGGCCTCTGTGTCAGCTGCTGCTTCCAGGTTCCTGCCCCATTTGAGTTCTTGCCCTGGATTTCTTCAGTAATAAATAGTGATATTGAAGTGTAAGCCAAATAAATACTTTCCTTCCTAAGTTGTTTTTGGTTGCGGTGTTTCTCACAGCAATACTAACCCTGAATAAGACAGTTACCTAACATGTTATGTATTCCTTTCAAGCATACATTGGACATTCATTGGACCATAAAACAAATCTTAATTTTAAAAGAAAAGAAATAATGGAAAGTATACACTGTTGATCATTTTATAAAAAATAAATCACTAACAAAAAGGAAAAATAAATATCCAACAACTTAGAAACTGTATACTTCTGAATAATCCTTAGATAAAAAAGTAGTCTCAAGAAATTTAAACTGAATGAAAATAGACATATGCTTAGAGGAAAATTTGTAGCAATCTATTATTTTTTCAGGCCAGGATTGTTG